TCCGAAGCGTGAAGTGTGTTATTGGGCACACTGAATTGTCTAACCTTACGCCCTCTTCTTTTTTGATATTCGGTGTCACGTAAACACTTAGGATTTCGATAGGGCGTCTTTAACTTAGACATTTTGTGTTAGAGCAGGCTTCTGAATCGCAAATTTTCAGAGTTTTGAGTATCCCTATTCGACTATGTTCTATATTTTTATCTTTACGCAAGCGAATCACCTTCTGTCAAGGTTCAAAGGTAGCTGGCTAAAAATCAATAGTCTACACAACATCTCCATCTAAAATCCTGCCTACAGACTCCACTATCCGACCTTTCTGATTGTCCCAAGAAATCCTTACCGTCATCTCTCGGACAACCATCTATAAACACCTTTTTGCAGTGCTGCCATATATATATATATATATATATATATATATATATATATATTACTTTCTTGCTTTCGTTTATACTGTATTCTGTAGTGTTCTGTATCTCGCTTTTTCTTATTTCTTATCTTTTGCATTGCTGCGCATTGGCTGAAGTGTGTATCTCACCTTCAGCTAACGTATAACGATGATGATGTATAGTAACGCTCTTGGAAACTAATCATTTGCCGTTGCAGACCCCCGCCACCTCTGCCTTGTTATACAGAACCAGATTTAAGGTCATTTTGTTCATCCCCTAATCCGCTAGATACTCCACGATGATTTCTGATCGACACTGCACTACTTGCACGAAGCAGCGAGCCTCCCGTATGGTTGAGTCCACCGAATACGCTGGCTCTGGTGGGTCCCTGTGTGATTGCCAAATCTGCGAATACACGGTCTCACTTAATGACGTGATGTTTCATACTTACTGCCGCGATTGCGAATGTGAGATTGTGTGATGGTGGCGAAGGATTGTGGGAATAGGAACTACGTTGTCTCATCGTTTTGAGCTGGTGCAAAATGCTCTCTCTTTCACCCTTCAGCTCCCAGCTCAGGCTATTCCCATCTGATGTGTGCAAAGGAGGATGAAATCGGTGGTGGGGTGTCAGTGTTGCGAGGAGCAACACTGAACCTCCTACACACACACTGTCTCTCTTTTGTTGTATGATGATGCAACAACGTAGCCCTCCAATTCCTCAAAACCGAGTATACTCTAGTTCGAGAATCGTTCACATTTTGGATTGGAAAATATCTCCCACCGGATGGAGCGCCATACGCACTTTGTATATGGGAAATAATTTCACCTCTTCTGTTGTGTTGGGAACTTTGTCTACTTTTGATACCTTCCCGCAGGTTTTGACACTTGTTTCTCAGAGACTTTCCTGTTGACAGAACGAATTAACTGGTCAGATGCTCTGAGCCTAGATGCTCGTACGGTTCTCCGTGTCCGTTCAAGCGGCCCCAGCAAGTAAACCGTTGTTAGCTTCAAACTTCCCTGATTTCGCTCCGCTGCCTTGCGAGCAGGCTATTCAGCCAAAGGCTCGGGGTGGTGTCCTCTAAGTCAACACCCTACTTCGGCTTGGGCAACCGGGTAGTATCTCGCCCTCTGAGGAAATCATGGACATTGTTGTGTTGTGTTTTATTTTACTGTTTCTGTACCTTCGTTTGAATCCCATGGTTTCTGATGGCATTATGTCTGTTAGCAGACTTTTGCAAATATATAGCTTCAAACTTACCCAGCATGTATGATAGTGTATTACGTTTCGCTTCTTGACCAATAGTTCGATCGTATGCGTTTTCGTTGCATGCATACCAGAAAGTGACCGATTCTTCTTGCTGTTGGCGTCTATCTCCGTTGCACTTTAGTCTTCCGCTATCCTCACCCGCTTGTCACCGGAGCCTTATTTTCGGACACCCAGGCGCTTAGTAGCACGTGGACTTGATCTGTTTACTGGCCATAGGTAGGCACTGAATCAAAGCACCTCAATGGTCCACTCGCTATCATCAACACCTTTGTTTCACACCTCAAGACACGTGCCCGCTTGACAAAGAGCCCATTTCTAGCGAATGCTAAAGGGAGGAATTTGAATTAACCGAACTTAAACCCTTTCTGCCTTTAGATGGTGACGAAAATGTGATGGAATTTCCACCGGAACGACCTCACTGCTCTACATTGGCGGATTCTTGTCCATTTAGAAGCAGATATTGTATTCTGGTTTTACATTGCTCCATACTAACATGTGGCTATGTTACACGATAGCTCATTTGGATTTTATTATAATGTGGTACTCAGATGCTCTGGAATATCTCCGTTCTCATCAGTGCATTCGGTGTACGAGTGTCTGTGAAAAATCTTTCATCATGCGAAACTAAATTTCGATGCCACCGCAGTTTGTGTCCTGGGCATCGCAGTGCGACACAGCGCATTCAGCAGAAGCGACTGATATAAATGTTACCCTAGACTGTACCATCCCTCAGAATGAAACGCCTGTCTTTGTTTTGTCCCTTGCGGAAAAGACCAATTTTGACGGCTTGGACGAGACTATTACCGGTGCACCTTGTATGCTCCCAGAAACAAGCGGCACTTCGTCGGTCAGCTCTGCATTCCCCGCTGAAATCGGCTTTGCTGTCTACTTCAAATACCGACTAGTTTACTGAATTAGCTCATGACAGGTGGGTATCCGCTTACCGGCTGGCGTAGTCATCAAGATCACTTCGGGACACGACCACCTGATTGACAGATACAGAACAGCCACGGAGCTGTGCCAGTTTCAACAGATTTCGTCATTTGATGTAGTAATTCTTTGTGATTAATCTGTTGCTTTGGTGACAAGTTAGGTGGTCTGCTTACTTGCTTATAGGTCAAGTCGAAATAATCTTTATGCACCCAGATTGGAACATTTTCAGCATTTTCCGTTCGCACTTCGGATGCAAGGAGCCATGATATTGATCTAAAACCACAATCAATAGCTAGAAAATACACTATGGATATACTTCACTCAAGTAGGCGTCCACGCGTTTCTTGTAGTCCAAATGAAAACGGGATGTGAGTAAACTAAGCCCTAAATTTCGAGCGTGTAAACGAACAACATTTGATAAATCACGGTGCAAGGACTGAAAGATATCATTTAGAACTTTGGATGAAAATTTGTCACATGAACTGAACTGCTTATTAATCATTAAGTAAACCAGACGCTGGGCAATCCACTGCGTCTGGAGATGAGCCTAATGGAACATAGGCGACCAGAAAAAATGATGGGAAAAATTCAGGCATTCATCAACTTACAAATTACAGAAGAGGGTCCTGAAAGCATTTTGAGTCTCATGAACTGGGTACGTATTTGTCAAAATCAGAATTTTGTCTGGGCGGAGGAGAGGGAAGGTTACCTTGCGGTATTTTGAGGCGTTGGGAACATGAGATAGGGACAACGACCACTGCTGAAGCTCCCGATTTCTGTTTTATCCACAGTTGTTTGGTAGCGTAGAATATACTTAGAGACGATCCAGTAGTCATGAGTTTGACGTATTTATTGGACGAGATTTCGTTTTTGATTCAAGGAAACTGACACACAGCTTGTACGACATTTTGCGGCAAATCGGGTGAACTTTGAAACAGCTCGGCTTCAGTCAGATGTTAATTACGGCTGCATGTCAAAATACCTATCAGGGGGGAGGGGACAACGAGATCGGAACTAGTCCAGTATCTTGTCGTTAACTACTGCCTTGGTGGTGGTTTTTGTTGCAACCTCCAATCCGTCCACCGACTCGTATCAGGCCGACCGGATTAGGGCTGGTCACCGAATCTTTCAACCGCAAGATTGGGTCCTCATTCACGTAGCTCTCCGATTTAGCTATTTTCTACAGTCTATACGTTTTTCTAGTACCTAGTACGAGCATGGTTATCCCCCTTGTGCCACCGAGCAATCTGGTATGCAAAAGTATCTCTCTGATTTGATGCCCAGAGGATGTTCACCTCTTCTTATCGGAACCTTGCGCGATTTAATTATGAACTCCTGTTTTCGTCTTGTCTAGCTTTTTCACCATGTGACGGCACATGATAACTGGTTAGGAGACTGGTACATCAGCTGATGTGTGCATCCTAATGCGTTACGACGCTCAGGCGAGCATATTTATTCCGGGCTACACTGCGATGATCGAGCCGCACCGAATGTCACTGTCACGTGATTGTCTGCACCCAGTCCACGTTCGCACCTTTTCAACTTGTCCTTCTTGTTCGATCATGTGGCCCTGTAAACGTGCCGCATTGATTCACCGCTTGCATTTGCGAGTTGAGCGATGCTTAGTTCTGCGCGCAGTGCCACATGCTCTCCATCATCTTTGTGACCGGTGTACGAATATGTTTCGTGCGCTAAACTCACACGTTTCCATCCCCGTCCTTTGTCAACCAAACGGCTAGGTTCACGATTCACAGCTCAGTTTCGGCGGCATCAGCTCGCAATAATCCGGAAGCGAATTACTCTGACTGGTGGCATATTTGGGGTGGGTATTGGCCGCGCAAAATTCGAGACAACAAGTCAATAAAATAAACTGTTTAATTTTAGCGACCATCAGCTCATTGAATTGGCCCAACTTCAAGGTGACTCTGGCAACCACTGTCGTAGCTTGCAGACAGGAAAGAACGGAGGTATACGAGCTTCTGTATTTAAATATTTCACATTCAATGTGAACAAACACAACCAGGAGGTTTGTGGTGTGAGCTCCTTTTGATTCCCAACCGGTTACCAAACGTATTAAACTTGACATGCGAGTCCGCAAAACATCAAAGGATCACCACAGTTTCCTTATTTGACATGGTTCTGAGGGACTGATTTAGTATTATTACCGTACAATGTACGCTCCCCGTTTACCTTTTAGAGTACGGTCCATGCGTCTCGTATGCTTCAGCACTATACTTCCCTTGATGACCGGTGGCCTAAAGAACAAGAACTCGGTCGTCACCAATTCGAGCCAGTGTAGGGAACCAAGCGTATTGCTGTTGTATTTATTTCTTTTCTACATTCATCCCTTACCACTGTCTTTTTGCTCAAGCTGTGTGCAACAACCATCATCTTTTCGCACTCCCCAACCGCAGGTCTTCATTCGGTGGCGGACCTCTACTGTGATTGTTGTCGCACAGTGCTCGGTTGGAAATATGAACAGGCTTACGAAAGCAGTCAGAAATACAAAGAGGGCAAATACATCATCGAGCTGGCTCATCTCATCAAGGACAACGGATGGGATTGGTGCATCGTAGATATGGAACAGCGACGGCCCTATTGATGCTGATTTGGTGGTGTGCCAACGCCACGCTGTTTCTGTCATGTGTGTCCACAAACACACGGTCCCCCCGTCTTTCAGCCTTATACGCTCGCCCAATATGACCCATCGCTTCCGTCACACTTAGTGAAGCACCGACTCTGTATGGATCTCGACTAGCTCTATTACATGGCAAAGGGGAGTGGAAAAAGACACATTGGACCACCGGATTCAGTTCGTTCTGTTTTTCGCCTATCCAGCTGGAAGTCGAGCGTATTTTCCACGTCGTCTCTCTTTTTGTTATTTGTTTTCCAGTACACACTCCACCGCACCAACGAGGCTACCTGTGTTTGTGGTCTAGTCCCCCTCCTCCCTCTCACAACTTCTACAGATGTGTCGTTTTTCTCACATCATGTTATGTACCTGGGTTATTCTCGTTACCACTTGCGTGAACACGCTCGCATTTGCCTGATGCTTCGCTTGCTCAGACTCCGCATGATAGATGAGGTTATCTGACGCGACCCCAGTTTGTCTCTATCGTTTCTTCACACTGTACACGTAGGCACACGCACGCACACAGAGACACGCAGTCGCATATCTCTTCCTGTTTCCATGATGCACACGCCATCATCAAACTGTATGTTTGCACTCTCTTCCGTATCCCAGTTTTCTATTTCTTTGACTTTCGGCATTCGTCCGCGCTATGCTTCCTGTGTACAGCTTTGCCTGCTGCTCTTTCACTCACTGTGTTCAAGCCCGCTTCCGGCTTCAGTATATGCTAGGTGCACACACGTCACCCGTCAACTTCTTGCTGAACGGTTACTATTCCAATGAACGCACTAATAACGATCTTATTGAACACCTCTCAATCTTAGTCCTACTATTGCCTACTACCTTTTGGCCAGATTGTACAGGGACACGTTTGTTTTAACATTCCCACCACCATCAACACATATGTATCATGGATCTCAGGTGAACCTTGGGCGCTTGAACTCTATACTGTGATGCCCGCGCATTTAATCTTTAACTTCAAGTTCCCTCTGGTGTCTGCGGATGAGTTTGGTTCCCATCTAGACCACTCACACGTGTGCACATACACACACACACACACCGTGATACGCTGTTCAAATGATGTGACGATCCCAATGTTCACCGACCTGTGGCTACACCCATGGCTCGTACTTTCTCGATCCTCCCACCGTTTCTGCCTCTTTGCAGTTTGAATCATTATGTGTATCTTTTCACATTTTACTTATGTGTATGTATATGCACCAGTTAGTGCACTTTTTCATCAAGTCATTCTCTTCATCATGATTTACAAACATTATCCACTTGGTGACTGCCAACCGACAGATCAAGCAGTACGCATGCGTGCATGCATAGCACACATGCAAATACCGGTCGTAGTCTCAACCCGTCTCTGTCCACGCCTGGACAGCATACACTGCCTCACTGGTGGTCACAGTATGGGCGATGTAGCTTAGATCCATAGGCATCTTGGAAGCCGAGCTCATAACCTTAGACCGGTGATTTGTTTTGAATAAAGAGTAAACTACGTTGGTGTTTCGTGGTTGACACAGTAAAGATGACCATCCGCAGAAATGTCAGATTTCCATGAACCACAGTTCTGATTTAGCGCTTTTGTGCGTAACTGATCCCTTTGCCTTTTACAATTTGAGTGCTTGATCATAGCGTCAGTAGTTGGGGCGGAAGCGACTGTTTGAACACTTGTTCTTGGGATGCTGCGTTCGGTAGTGATGAATCTCCGCTGACATTTTAACTGACTATGCCATACTGGAATGCACTCGACTTTCTAACTACGGCTGGCTTCCAGTATCTTGGTTTTGGTCATCCACTGTGTTCACTATATGATGGTTGCATATGGTCACTAAGCAACCTTTGGCAGTGCTAACCCAATGTCCATCCAGCTTCCCTTTCCGGCTGAAGTGCACACTCGAATGCGACCATGTTAGTCTCCACCGGCCGGGTACATTTAGGCTGCTCAGAATAAGAATTTGGCTACAGGTCCGTTGCAGAACTCTTCTTAAGGCGGGCGTCGATTGGGAGTCCCTTTTCGAAGCAAATCTTGTATAGCATAAAGTGGCAATACTACGGCCTGTTGTTGTCACTCATCAAATGGGGCCAACAATCCTAGAGTCCATGTGTCTTTTATTCCCCTTGCTATATCTATCATTTCTAAAGTGCCGCATAACTTGTATCGCGACTACTCGCAACTACCTTAGAGTTTAGCAGATTGGTCCCGTGCACTAGTGAAGAAATGTAACTGGTTAGCCTGTTGAGAGAGTCCTAGGAGTTTATGTGTGTAGTGATACCTATCGAGCGAGCAGCAGTGACCCCAGGCCGACCTCTTACTTGCCGGCTTCGATGGCTCCAAATCAACCCCGATTGAGCGTGTCGATAACCAGGAGCACAAACAGCGCTCAAGGGGATGTTACGAGATTAACAGCCGCAGAAAATGCACCACATTGTGAATGATTCCAATTGATGCGCTATATAAAGTGCGCCTGTGTTCTTAAAATAACAGAATTTTGATCTATTCCCAGCCTTTGTTTCTGATTCTCTCAGGGCTACTACGACAGTGTGCCTGTTGCAAGGTGTCACAGATATCCGGTGCATGGTTGCGTATGTTGGCATCTAAGGCGATTTGGGACCGCGGTTTTCCCGTTGTCCGGATTAAACCCTGATGCCACTGCACGCGACGTGGCTCAAAAGGCTGCATAGAGCGTGTGCACAGTCAGTCTATTAGTTTCTGCACATACGATGCGGTTAGAGCAGCTTATCCCCAAGCGTAATCGTAGGCCCAGCTGCTTGTCTTTTCCGACGTCTGCACCAGCTTTTGTATATCCAGAGTGCAATGTGCTGGTTGGATGTTCTTTGCTGCAGACGCTGGATTTCATCCCAACTGACAACGAACGTTATAACAACTGGTTACATGCCATTAATCGGTGGTGAAATTAGTTAGCTGAATTACGAATGCTTGTAGATAATCCACAAGGCTGACGCCGCCTCTGAATGTGCACTGCGCTGCAGCTGCTTCCTAGTTGATGTGCCGTTTTGAAACGGTTCTGTGTACAGGCACAATACATAGAAATTCGTTTCTCATCCCAATCTGCATTTCTCTTTTCTGATTACATGTGATGTCGCTGGCGGAGCCGGTTGAGAACCGACGTCATCCTGTGCGGGGGGGGGGTGTTTGTTGCGTAGTTTATAACAATCACGGTAGCACCATAGAGGCTAGAGACCTGCATCGGTCCACCGTTTTAATCACTGCAGCTAATCCGTTTTGCTTGGGACACAGAAACCCACGATTCGACAGGTTTAGTGCTATCGCCAACGTTGTGCAAAGCTTGTCTCATTGCATTCTTTGTGAACACATACCTGGCCGTACGTCACTTGGTTACACAACGCTTCATTCGTTTGGAAAGAAAAGCGTTAATTAAGGTTTGTCGATACAAGATTATTACTATCCAAGTCCATTCACTTGTGACAACGAGCACGCAGGTGATGGTTTTGTTTTTCTATATAAAGCAGGGAAAACTGTATGCCACAGCGGCAGAAGCAATTTGAGTGCGGGATCAATGTTGGAAAATCGAAAGAGTTTTGGCGGTGGTAGTTTCCTCGGAGCGGTTTTGTGTATACAACTTTGGAAACATGTCACCAATCCACACCCATCTCTTATTGCAAAAGGAATGAGCCAATTGGTGTTACCACTTGAAAGTTAGGGAGTCTGTTAATCGGGCTATGGGTTAGTTTGCTAGTCAGAAAGCTTTCGATGCGGCACCATAAAGTTTGTACTATTGTCCTTGTGTATTGCACAGTATCCCTGCGTGAATCAGCTGCCTCGGAGTCGCAAGTAAAACGCTGTACGTCGTGATCAGGTTGTTTCGCAACTAGCGATTAGTCAAGGTGTACACGGACTTTGACTAGCAGTGTGAGAGTACACTTAGGTCCTCCACAGAAGCGGTCGATCGTTGAGAGTGTAGGTTCGACCGTCACCACCCTTCCCCGGGCTCATGTGCACTGAATTCGTTGGGTTGACCGGGAGTCGGACTTTTATAGACCACCTGGTGAGGTGGTTGAGGTCTTGCTGTATTAGGCAGCAGTCGTCAAGCTGTTAATCACTCGCATCTTCAGGTTGTCTGCAAACGTGGCACATGGCGACTGGATAAGCTGAGCTATATCATCCATGTAGATTTGGATCACAGTAGGTCCCAGTCCCGTGTCGAGGGATACCAATTGGTTTGATAACCGCGAAACCATGCGTCACACTTTCGTCCAACGACAAAATTGTGGATTCACTGGTTCAGTTAACCTGCAGCACCACAGATCATCAGTCAATAGAGGAAGATCTCATAGCTTACCTCGTCTAGCGGTTTGCTGAAATCGATGTAAATTATTTTGACACAATTCTCCTTTTTCTGTAGGTACGTCGCAGTTAGACACAGGTAGACAGTCATCACACATCCAGGAAAGCGCAAGACGGCCGTTTCGTCCTATTGGGACTCGTTAGTAGCGCGCACCCGCCGAATCCTTCCGGATTCGAACCCACGACCTTACTCTTGCGAGTCAGCGACTTATGTCGTTGCTCTGGGGGCCAGCCCTGTCCTCTGCACATTCCTAACATGCAAGACAGTGAAGGATGAGCCGCGCTATATCGCAGCTACATATCAGTCATGGCGGTCCGTTGCCGTCGCCCATGGCTCAGTGACATAAGTCGCTGACTCGCAAGAGTAAGGTCGTGAGTTCGAATCCGGAAGGATTCGGCGGGTGCGCACTACTGACGAGTCCCAATAGAACGAAACGGCCGTCTAGCGCTTTCCTGGATGTGTGGTAACTGTCTGCCTGTGTCTAACTGCGACGAACCTACAGAGAAACCTAATAAATCCCCCTGCTACTTACAAACAATTCTCCTTGTTTAGTGCATGCAAGCGTCTATGCTTCGACATGAGTAGGATGGCTATGCATAAGCGACTAGGCCTGAAGTATTGTTATGCAAGTCCCAG